TCCTCCCTCAGGCCCAGGAGTCCAGACCCCCGGCCCCTCCTCCCTCACGCCCAGGAGTCCAGGCCCCAGGCCCTCCTCCCTCAAACCGAGGAGCCTAGAACCCCAGCCCCTCCTCCCTCACACCCAGGAGTCCAGGCCCCCAGCCCCTCCTCCCTCACACCTGGAAGTTCCAGTTACCTTCTCCCTCAGCACTCCACCTCTTTTTTTTCAATTTGTGGTAAAATTCACAAAACATAAAATTAACTATTTTAAAGTGAACAATTCAATGGCATTTTGTACCTTCCCGGTGTTGTGGAACTACCACGTTTATCTAGTTCCAGAACTTTCTCATCACCCCAGAAGAAACCCTGTACCCACTAAGTGTAGACACTCCACATTTCCTACTGTCCCTAACCCCTGGCCACAACCAGACTGCTTTCTGTCTGTGGATTTGTTAATTCTGGACATTTCATATGTGGTTGAGTTTCATCCATGTTTTAGCACACATATCAGCACTTCATCCCTTTCCGTGGCCCAATAGAATTCCGTTGACCCTATGTCCCTGGGGACTTAGGAGTCTGAAACCCACATTTTCTTCCTTGTGCTCTTGCATTTCCACAGCCCCAGCAACTAGGACTTCAGGCTGTCAGCTTCCTCGAGGGTACAGATGAGAAAGTGAAGGTGCTGACAGACAGACATGGGACATTCCTTGAGGCCAGAGCCAGCAATCAGCGGAGGCCCCGATCCCACCCCTGCCTACAGTGGCTTCCCAGGCTGGAAGGCAGCCGCCCTTGGACCCGAAAATTAGAATACAGGTATTATATTGAAGGTGGCACAGGGCATGGTGGCCCTCAGAAGAGGAGGTGGCTAACTAGCCATGGTGTCCAGTGGATTCTGGTTGTGAGGGAAGGGCAGGAAGGTCTCACAAGCCATACTTAGAAGGAGGGGTCGGGGTCGGGGGGGATGACAAGCTAATATGCTTACTAGACAGGCTCAGCCAAGGGTAGGAGGCTGCACGTGGCCTTCCTCTGGGTGAGATGACACTTCACTTCCGTGTGTAGGAAACTGCTTCTGGTTCGTGGTGAGGACCGTTTTTCCCAGAGACGGGAAGCTGCCCATGCACTGGATCTCCATTTTCTCGCCTACCAAAGCAAGGATCATAATGGTGCCCCTGCCACACACTTGTGAGGGTGCAGGAGGGAGTCCATGGGAGTATGAACATCGTCGGGTCGTCCGAGTCACGGTATTTCTGAGAAGTTGCACTGCTTCGTAGCTACTTGGAGCTCAGAGCGTCTTACCGTGTTATCTGGTCCTCTGGGAAGCAAATGTTGCAAGGGTGTTAGCAATACAAGGGGCTTACTGGGGGGCGATGCCAGTGAGAGACAGAGGGGAGAGGGAGCAGGACTGGGCCAGGAAGTGGGTGGGCCACCTGTGGAAGAAGAGGGCGAAGGGAAGTGTGGGTAAGAAGAGCCTCAGAGGGTACAGCTCTGAGAAATCACAGCCGGCCAACAGGGGAGGTGAATTGCAAGGATTTCTTGTCACAGATCCATAGAAACAGAAAGTAGGTTGGTGGTTAGCAGGGGCTGGAGGGAGGGGTAGATGGGGACTGATTGCTTAATCACTTCTTTGGGGGTGGTGAAAATGTCTTGGAAGCAGATAGAGGATGGGCAGTTGCACAACAGTGTGACTGTTAAATGCCTCTGGATTATACTGCTTAAAATGGTTAAAGTGCTGCCTTTTGTGGTGTGTGAATTTTACCTCAATTAGAAAAGGAACAGAGGGGCACCTGGGTGGCTCAGTGGGTTAAGGCTCTGACTCTTGATTTCAGCTCTGTTCCTGATCTCAGGATCATAAGATCAAGCCCCGCCTCAGGCTCCGAGCTCAGCAGGGGCTCAGCGTCTCTCCCTCTTCCTCTCCCTCTGCCCCTCCCCCCACTGCTTGCATGTGCACTCAGGCGTGCTCTCGCTCCCTCTCTCTCTCTAAAAAAATGAATAAAATCTTTAAAAAAAAAGAACAGATAAAGATTGCCATTGGAGGAGTCACATTAGGTGGGACTGGCCAGTACTCCCTAGTACTCCCCTCCCCCTGCCCCACCCCCACCCATGATGCTTAGTCATGGTTGGGGGCTGCCAGAAAAGAACATGACCTTGATCCAATAGGAGTTGCCAGTACCGCTGTCCTCCAAAGGCATTCTTCACAGCTGATTAAGTTCTTTCTTCAAGGGAGATCCACCTTGGCTACCATGCCTGCCCAATATCACTCAGCTACTGAGCGGACGAGCTGGGACCAGAGCACAGGTCTGTCTGATTCTAAAATTTGGTTCTTTCCTATATTTTCATTTTCCGTAAATCTCCCATCCCCCTATCTCCCTTCTCATTCCCAGTCCATGAACATGGTATATATATCTCCCTGTTTTAGATCTTCTTTAAGGTCTCGCAATAAGGTTTTACAGATTTTTCTTGAAGAAGTTTTGTATATCTTTCGTTAGATTTATTCTCCCTTGCTGGATATTTAGAAATACTGTTGTAAGCCATATTTATTTAATTTTTATTTTAGAACTTTGTTAGTTGTACAGAAAATGGTTCACATAGCAGATCTGAATCAGCTATCGTGCTTGCAAGGTTTGTGTTTGTCTTGTGTCTGCGGACTTGGCTCTTGAACTATTCTGAGTGGCTCACTGTGCCTGGATTGTTTGTGCAAACCCTGTGGTTAATGCTGAATGCCTGTTTTCCTTCTGGGAATCTGGAATTTTGGTGCATGCTGGGCCGACAGTATCTATATGATCAGTCATCAATAAAAACCTTGGGTGCTGAGTTTCTAATGGGCTCCCTTGGGCAAAAACATCACACACATTTTGCTGCGTTTTTTTTTAAAGATTTTATTTATTTATTTGACAGAGAGAGACAGACAGTACAAATGGGGAGCTGCAGGCAGAGGCAGAAGGAGAAGCAGGCTCCCCGCTGAGCAAGGAGTTCGATGCAGGACTTGATCCCAGGACCCTGGGATCATGACCTGAGCTGAAGGCACACGCCCAACCAACTGAGCCACCCAGGCGTCCCTTTGTTGCATTTTTTTTAAGATTTATTTTTTTATTTTAGAGAGAGAGAAAGCAAGAGCATGTGAGCAGGGGGAGGGGCAGAGGGAACGGAAGAGAATCTCAAGCAGATTCCATGCCCACCACGGAGCCCAACTCAGGGCTCCATCTCACGACACTGAGATCATGAGCCGAAACCAAGAGTTGGACGCTCAACCAACTGAGCCATCCAGGCGCCCCATGTTTTGTTGCATTTTTGTTAGGGAAAGAGTGAGCTCTGTGTGATCCTCATGAAGGGAGAGAGCATGAGGAAACCTGCCTGTGAATCCTCCAGTCTTGGCCTGTGACTTTTCCCCTCTCCATTTCCTGTAATAAAGCTTAGCCACGAATACAACTCTGTGCTGAGCTCTATAAGTCCTAGTGAATTTCCAAACATTTGGGGGGCTTCGGGGACCCGCAACACACAGGTATAAAGATATACAATTGATGTTTGTATATTGATTTTGTGTCCAGAGCCTTGCTAAATTCCATCCTTAATTCTGATATTTTATCAGGAGCTTCTTTTGGATCTTCTAGGTACATAATAATATCTGTGATTAATGGCAGTTTTGTTTCTTTCTTTTCAATTCTTACACCTTTTTTTTTTTTTCTTTTTCTTGCCTCACTACAATGGCCATGTCCTCAGAACAGCGTTGAATGCAGTGGTGAGGGGACATCCCTGTCTTGTTCCTGATTTCAAATAAAAAGCTTTCAGTGTTTCAACATTAACATGAATTTTCTCTATATTTTTTTATTGTGGTAAAATGTACATAACATAAATGTTGCCCTTTTAACCAATTTTAAGTGTACAATTCAGCGGCATTAAGTACATTCATACTGTTGTGCGACCATCACCATTGTGCCTCTCCAGATCTTTCTCATCATCTCAAACAGAAACTTTTTACCCATTAACTAATAACTCCCCATTTCCCCGCCCTCAGCCCCTGGCAGCCACCACCCCACTTTCTGTCTCTATAAATTTGACCCTTCCAGGTACCTCATGTTAGTGGAATCATACAATATTTTCATGTGTGTGTGTGTCTGGCTTATTTCACTTTCAAAATGTTTTCAAGTTTCAGGGCGCCTGGGTGGCTCAGTCGTTAAGCGTCTGCCTTCGGCTCAGGTCATGATCCCAGGCTGGGATCGAGCCCTGTATCGGGCTCTCTGCTCCACGGGAAGCCTGCTTCTCCCTCTCCCACTCCCCCTGCTTGTGTTCCCTCTCTCACTGTGTCTTTCTCTGTCAAATAAATAAGTAAAATCTTAAAAAAAAATTAAAAAAAAATGTTTTCAAGTTTCATCTATGTTGTAGCCTGTGTCACAATTTCCTTTACACGTTTTGTTTAGTCACTTATTTGTAGATGTTTGGGTTAGTGCCACCTTTTGGCTATTATGAATAATGCTGTGATAAACATTCACGTACAAGTTTTTCTTTCTTTCTTTCTTCCTTCCTTCCTTTCTTTCTTTCTTTTTCTTTCTTTCTTCCTTTCTTTCTTTCTTTCTTTCTTTCTTTCTTTCTTTCTTTCTTTCTTGCAGATTTTATTTATTTATTTGAGAGACAGAGCAAGAGTGTAGGGAGGAGCAGAGGGAGGAGGAGAAGCAGGCTCCTCCCTGAGCAAGAAGCCTGACGTGGGGCTTGACCCCAGGACCCCAAGATTTGACCTGAGCTGAAGTCAGACCCTTAACCAACCGAGCCACACCCTTTCTTTCTTTTTTTAATAGAAAAAGAGACAGAGCACGAATCCCAAGCAAGCTCCATGCCCAGTGCAGAGCCTGACGTGGGGCTCAATGTCACGACGCTGAGATCGTGACCTGAGCCAAAATCAAGATCAGATGCTTAACCGACTGAACCACCCAGTCACCCCCCCCCTTTTTTTTTAAGATTTCACTTTTAAGTAATTTCTACAGCCAACCCCGGGATCACAACCCTGAGATTAAGAGTTGCACGCTCCAC